CATGTAGAGCACCTGGCACCTCCCGTTCTTCCCCTGCTGCAACCAGCAGTTCCCAGCTGTAAACAGACAAACAAACAAAACTCGAATGTCGCATGGTGAACGTCTGAAACCGCTGACCCAGACGCACCAGACACTCACGCAGCCCGTATTATCCGAGAGGCTCCCTCCCTCCCTTTCGCCCTCCCGGCAGTATTTTGTCTGATTGTTTCTTTTTTTTTTTTTTTGCGAGACTGTTAACACTTGCTTATCCCATCTGTGACTGACAGCCCTTACAATGCAGCCACAAACCAAAAAAGTAAGTAGAATCTTTGGAGGGGGGGGTGTCCTTTATTCCTAGAGGCTCCCTGTTATCACTGGACAGAAAGTGGAGCGTCTAGACAGTGTTAAATAGCAGCCAATCTCCTTCAGAAAACCACGGTCTTTAGCTATACACACCACCGTCTCCAACGCCTCTGAACAATATCCCAGACACCAGACACTGTCTTGCCTATTTACAAACCAGTGTATTCTATAGGCTAGTTATTCTATTTCTATGGCACAAAAATATAATTTGATCCAGACAACAGCAGGATGTCTAAACCGACACGTGACATTGGGATAAGTGTTCATGAACTGGTGTGTTTCTTAAATTGAACACACACAGATTTCTACTGTATATACTAGAACTACAAGCTCCCAAACAAGGGGGAAAACAGATGCAAAAGTCTCTAGTTTTATTATTGTTTGCCATAGATGTAAAATTGCACAGCCATTTGCACATAATGAGTAATCGGAATGAGTATATATATATATATATATATATATATATATATATATATATATATATATATATATATATATATAACACATAAACTTACAGTGGATATTCTGAAGTTTCTTACAGGTTTAACGACAACATCGTGAGACGCTAAACGCTCATAGAAAAGTATCAGAATATGCTCAGGTATTATGGAATGCTGGCGCTGCCACCAACACCGCATGGCGGCTGAATGTGTGCGCCTGGCGAGGGCTGCAAAACTTGCCATATAGTCTCACTTTGAAGTGTCCCATAGGGCACCTGTTTTATGGACGCTTCACGCACGCACTGTGTGATGCAGAGAGAGTTTTATCAGCGGGAAAAAAGGAAACTCACTTTGAAAAGTTTCTCGGTTGCAGCAAGTACTCGACACTCGGGCGCGTTTTGTGGCTGACAGCAGTCGAAGTTTTTCAAAAACGGCAAAGAATAAAAGGAAATTGATGAAGTGAGCTTACCTTGAACTTTTTGATGTTCCATGAGATGACAAAGCCATATGAAGAAGAGAAAAATGCCCGGGTGAAGGTGGTGTTTCAGCATCCTAAACATGATGGAGAGGCAAAGTGAACTACGTATTTGACACAGGCAGCGCAAAAGTAATCTGCTTACGGTGGCAGTGTTGAATAAGTGTCAGTCTGAGAATGCAGCCTCTCTTTTTAAATCTATAAGGGGTCTCGGGTTGACTGTCTCTGGTGGGCGGTCTCCTCTTCTGTGGGGGTGGGGAGATATTTTTTTTCTTACCAAAGTTCTTTCAGTCCCAGTCAGGTGACACCGTTACAAGCAACTTTCTCTTGTCACAATAATCAAAATGTGAAAATATGTCTGAATTTGTGTTAAAACACCATACTTCAGAATTATGCGCCACTGCAGTCAAACAATAGCAGATCAGACCAAAAAATGTGTCGGCTGATTTTGACGAATTTGGTTTTGATAGAGAATACTAATATGAATGTTTCATTTTAATCGTTGTAATTTTTTTCATCATATTATGTCAGTGTGAGGTGGACAGCTTGGTTTTACGCATGGCTTGGGTATGCGCCTTTAAACCTACAATAATACCATTAATAAGTTGCATTCTTATTATTTTTTATTATTGTTATGAAGGTCATTGTTACTCATATATCAAGGCCCTTATTACTGTTTATTCAAACAGGCCCGCTGCCAACATACCTATCCGGGCATCAGTCCTTCACATTAAGGGTACTACTTGATGGTAAGTGATATTTTTTCCACCAACTGCAGACAAAAGTGTAAATCTTTTGAGGAGAGTTGCCTTTAGAAATATATCCGAGCACAGGCAATAATAGAATTCATAGTAGTCCGCAGCCGCAATGCTAATATTAGAACAGACAGTTGTTTGGGTTTCTCTCCCGGGTCAAGCTTTTAAATATAATCAAACCTGTTTCCGAAGAGGCTTCAGACAGAGGAGAGGGGTGTTGCATTTCATTGAATGAAACACACACACATACACACACACACACACGCACGCACGCACGCACGCACACGCGTACACACGCACAGTGCTCTCCCTACTCACTGACGCACATGCTGAAGTCCCTCAGAAGTCCTTGCGCGACCTCTTCAGCGGAACTCTGGTTACAGCTCTCCAGAGCAAAGAGCAAAGTGTCTGCTGTGTGAATCAGACACCATTGAGTTAATTATTGTCGGGCAGTAAGAACACACCTTAATCTATTTTTTTATTCCTGTTAAATGCCACTTAGGTTCGTTCATCTACAAAATATGAGAATAAATTAAATGAAAACTCTACAATATTCCCATATATCCACAGCATACAGCAAACTGTATGGAAATAATTGCCTTATATCGATTTGTGTCCTACTACAACCAATTTGATCAGATATTACTTACAATATATGTAATATTATATGATATACAATTATTATATTTAAATCATATATCAATATAATAACACGCTTGTCTTGTAGCCAATTTACATTTAATTCTTGTTAGTGCATTTTCATTACAAACAGCACTGGACTATAACTTTGGTTTTATTAATGATTTCAGTACAATCATTAACACAAATAACACAGGATTAGTCAACAACAGATACACACAAAAAAAACAAAGGGGTTTATAACAAAAACATTAGCATTTCTATAATAATATCCACATCATTTACAATGAAAAAGATCATTGTACAGCCTAATACAACTTGAAAGTATATTCCCAAGTGACATATTATTTATTTAGACCACCCACTTTCTCTAATACAACACCAAAGGGATAATGTTTGATATGTAGTGCTAGACTCATTTTATGCTGTGTAAAAAAAGAAGTTCCTGCAGCTGTACTCAAGAAAAAGAAACAGCAGACCAGAAAGAAGATGTGTTAATCCTCAATCAAAAGAACAGCTCAACAGATCACATATGAATCAGTTGACAGTTGGAAGCCTAAATACACAGAATATGAAACTATTAACACATATTCTGTCCTTGTTGTCTGATCTACAGTGCTCACAAGCTATTTTATATTCTGTTGTGGCAAATCATTTTACATTTTGCCCTCCTTACAATCCCATTTCTTAGTGATGAAATGCAGTCACCATATACTGTATCACCAAATGATCTATGCAGGGATTATTCTACTGCAGTAAAGACGCAAAAAGCAAAAAAGAAGCAAATTAGACAATGTAGCATCATTTAGAGTGAACATTTTACCCAATGTTTTCATGTTATGACAGCTGAAACAAGGTGTCTGTGATCAGTAAAATTATCTGTCTGAAGGGCAGTTACACTAGCCTCATACTTTAATGTCACACTTCAAGAGGTTTACTCTTTTATTAAACTATTTTCAGTTTTATCAAGCAGAAAATTGACATAACCATTCAGACTATTTTGATTTCAAATGAGGAAACCAAAGGTTGGATATAAACCCACAGGAAGTCAGTATTTATGGCAATAACTTCTTTCAACAAATCTGAAAATGTTCACTTGGTGCTGAGTTATGTTTGGCGAATCTTTCAGTGTTTGGTGTGTGTGATTTGTGAGATCAGTGTCTTTGAAGCCAAAACACTTCCTGACATGAGAGTACATTTCTGCACCGTTGTATCAAGTTTAAAGTGCTGGCTGTTGCCCTGAAGCCACTAATGGCATCAGCAGAGGGGCAAACAGCGCTCCCCATCCCAGGCTCTGAGCTGAATATGCTTCAAACAGACCCATGCAACGAATGATGAGTACTGATTTAAACCTTTTGAAACATAACTGTTACTGGACTGATTGAGAGACATTTCATACACTCCTGATGCCATGGAGGATGACATTTTTTTTTTTGCTTTAATTTGATTCAGAATTTCCGCATCAAAAAAGCCAAACGTTAATACTATGTTGCTGTAGCTACTCTAATCTACTCCGAACATGTGTGACAAAATTCACGTCTTTATTTGAAATAAATAAAAAATTCAGGGCCTGGCCACTACAGTGCCAGCACAAGCCAATGACAAGTAGTTTCAATGAAACCAGGACTACAGTCCATATTTAGGTAACACTAAAGGTCTTACAGTGTAAAAAAAAAAGGCCAACAGTTATTAAATAATTTGCTATGACATCATTTTGGATAAGCAACAATGCTGGAGCAATTTGTGAGCAATCATGCAAGGTCAGTTTCGCTGTAACTGCCAATCATCTGCAAGAAACCCCAGAGGGATAAATTTACAAAGGTGTTCAACCACCTCCACTGTATCTTATTTCATCAACTATTTCCACATAGCTCCCTGCACACATATACATAGAATCCAAATGCTATATTTCACAACACTGCAGTGCATGAGTAATTGTGAAACGGAGCAGTTCAATCATTTATCAAATCTAAAACTTCAGCCCAGTCTCCCAAAAAATATGCTACTTATTAGAGACAAAAAGCATATTCCAACCCACCAGATCCAAACAAATAAATGCTAAAGGCTCTGCTGGGTGCTGGAGTTGGCTCGTTCAGAAGGAAAAAAGTCCGAAACACATTCCAAAACCATCCAGGGACAGACAAACCTGACGATGGGAGGAAACGACAGTCAAGAATGTGAGAGGAAATTAATTGAGTTTGAGGGAAAGCTTCAATTGTATAGATGTTTGGAGGGAAGTGGGCCAAGTGGGGTTGCTTGAAGGGTCAGGTTTTGTAAAGATGTTTCAGCAAGAGGGGAGAGGAGAGGAGAGGAGAGGAGAGGAGAGGAGAAGTGAAACACATTTCAAAATAAATCATACATTATCATTTATTAAGTGATAGTGGTATAGATTGTTCAAGTCATCAGCAGAGCAGTGACAAAATAATGAACAATACCAACATGTCTTCTGTATTATGCTGCCATCTTGTGGCAAAGTTGTGCCAATACACATTTAGAGGATTAACTTTGATCAAATCTCTCTGTGTAACGCCTCTGCTCTGTAGTGAGTGTGTGATTAGTTGTTGGGGGCTGAATATGGTTCAAAAAGTACACACTGCCCTACAGATAAAAAATATTTGAGATGAAATTATTTTGTTATTTAATTTATTTACATTGTTACTATTAGTCAATTAATCAATAAGTTGATCAGCACAAAATGTATCTATTATGCAACTATTTTGATAATCAGTTTAATGGTTTGAGCAAAAAAAGGCCAAACACTTGCTGTTTCAAACTGCTTTTCTTTGTTAAAACAACTTTCTGACCTTCAACCAAACCAAATATCGATTAATTGAGAAAATAATCAGCAGCTTATTAAATTCTGAAAATAATGGCTGCAATATGCTACAACAACAATAACACACAACACAAGCAGCTACCGCATGGACCCATACTGCCTCTGATCTTTTCTTATATAAATTCAATATGAAAGATCAGAATTAATCTTACAGTATATACAGTACAAAAACAATGAAACAGAGTAATGGCAGATTTCACTCTTTCCAGGATAGGTATTGCATTTAAACTATTAATATCAAGAGCATTAATGCAAGAAAAGCCCTGAGTGCTAAAGGTGACAGTGGATGTCAAGGCAGTTTACGCTACAGACTGACTGGCAACAACAGTTGTGTTAAAAAGGTCAAACGAGTTATATACATGATTATAAGACTCGTCTAATTGAAACTGTTTGGTAACCATGTTGCCCAGAATTTGTCAAACCAGAAGGCAGATTCCTTTACAGTGTAACATTTGCATCCAATGTCATAACGCCTAGAAAAAATACAGTATTTACATTTATTCAACAGCAGTCACTGTACAGTCAGGCTCAAAAAAAAAAAAAAAAATAGAATAATATCATCAGTCCTCTGTAAAACGGACAGAAGACTGAATCCCACTTATCCACAGCTTCAATTTCATTAAAATGTCTTCCAGTGATTGAGCTGTAGTCTATTTGCACTTTACAAGCACCAGTGGCAAGTACCAGTATCCACACTGGAAACAGTCCAGTAAGGAGAGAGGACTGGAGCTTTTCTCTGCAGTTCACAGCACTTCATTGTCAGGTGCGCGGCTCTGAGCGTCTTCATCAGCCTCCCTCTGAAGCTGCTGGTACTTTCTTTTGAAAAACCCAAGCTAGAAAGTGAACAGATTTAGACACCGTTTCTATTTCAGTTCTTATAGTTTTATTAAAAAAAAAACTTTATATGAAAAAACAGATCAGGTTAATTCTCCTTTCACACCTTGGCAAATGTGAAATGCTCATCAGACGTGCCTAAGCTGTATATAATCACTTACTGATGTTCCCCTTTACGTTCAAATGATTTTCACTGAAGCGTAGACAAACACTTACCTTCCACAGCACCCCAACAGCCAGAGCCAACAGCAGCAGTCCGGCAATGGCGCTGCCAACTATCACTCCCACTGGAACATCACCTTTCTCTCCAGGTTTACTGACTTTCACCACAACCTGGACAGCAGGAGGACAGGAGAGGTCATTACTGTCTCACGTTCACGGGCATTTTCTTTTTTTACATGTCAGACTACAGTATGTCCAATAAATATGAGAAAAAAACATTTGCTGCATTTAGTCTTTACTCTAGTGTGCAATATTCTATTCTTACTCTCTGTATTTTGGCATGTGGCCTTTAGATACAAAAACTGCTCAACAATGGTGTTGCATCAGAATACAGAGAAGAGAATACTGAGTCACAATAAGTGTTTAAAATAATTCTTACTGGTAGCTGTTTGAGGCCGACAGTGATAAGATCAGGGTTGGAGGTCTCAACATCAGCACTGGAGGTCAACTCGATGGTTTGATAGGTGGCCTATTATGACAAATTTATATAAATGGGAGCACTGAATGCATCAGCATTAATTAATTAATGAGTAACATTTGTCATGAACACCATTTATTGTAATAAAAGCAGACAATACACCACTTATGATGAAATTCATTATTGAAAATGTTTACCGAAATAAATGTGCCACTCCAGATTCTGGTTTTGACTTTCACAAAGTAGTCGCTGTTAACTTCAGTGTCTTTGAGGATGCATTTCAAATACTCGCATGTTGCACTTTTGCAGTCCTATCAGTAAAAAAAAAATACATTAACAAAAGGAGATCATTAAATTCCACAATTTCCAACCAAGTTGTTGAGCTGTTGAGGTACAAAGTACAGTATAAACAAGATAAATGAAAATATTATTTTAAAATATTCAAAACATAAAATTCTATTAAATTCTGTATTTGCAGTTTGAAGTTTTATAAAAAATAAAAAGCTACAGGAATTATACATTTAATCACAAATACAGGATAATATGATCAAATCACTTGTTCGCTAAATATTTTATATTATTATATATTACTAATATACATTAGATAGCTCATGTGCAGTGTGCTGGCATATATTTGTCCATCAATAGCTCAAAAGTGAATACTACATTAGAAGATGTCTCCTAGGAAGGTGGACACATATGAGGAGAAAATTATGCAAGGAAAGCTGCGACTTACCAGTATCTCCATGTCTCGGAGGCTCTCCTCAGAGAAGGAGACTTTGTGGCTCTTCACACCGATCTTCAGAGGATCAACCAGGCTGCTGGAGTCACAGCTGACAGAACCTCCCTACAGGTGGAGAAACCTTAGGTCATTCATTCCCAAACATGCAGTAAAAGTGTAAAACATTTTACACAACCTGACTTAGGAAATGGGAATTTGTAGGGGCTATGGCAGTTTGGTAACCAACCAAGTACTTTTGCCATCAGATTGCGACCAACTTAGTTGCACATTGTGTGTATGTATTAAATTGAAAGTCTGTGATGTTTTACTTACAGATACTAAACATTGCAGATTGGGTGTCAACTAGGACATTTATGAAGTAAAACAGCTTTTAAAGTTCTTAAAAATTTGCTGGTACTTGGCAACTGAGTACTCACTGCTTGTGTGTCCACACTGGTAATATAGAGGAGCTTATTTCCACCTTTCGTAGTGATTGGCAGAGCAATGGTCAGATACACGAGGCTGACAGGGAAGGTACCTGTTGAAACCTTTAAATACAATTTGTTTCAATAAATATGTTTTATAATAAATATAATGACAAATTAGATGATAGATTATAAAGATATTTTAAGAGACAGATTCATTTATTGCACCTTTACTGTAAAGTTAAACTCTGGGCCAATGTCATCGAGATTTTTCACCGTTGTCACCACTGGAATGGTAGTATCTGCCACGTAGAAATTGATATTTGACTGCCTAGGGCAAAGAGACCATAAAAATTACTATTTTAATGCATTTTCCATCGTCAACTGTAAATATTACACTGCATGACTAAAATGAGAAAAGTTATCTAGCAAATAATGAAATCACCTTGATAAAATAATCCCTGCATCATATTGAACAGGAATGGATATGTCCACGTTGTTGTCTGCAGGTCGTTCCTCTTTACTATCACTGTAAAGAAAAAAGGTACAGAGCATTGACAATCATTTTAATTAAGAGTCACAATTTTTCATTGGTTGTCTAATGAATTGAGTGTACCTCTTGGCTTCAAATTTCACCTCAGCACGGTTTTGCAACTGATAAAGACTGTATTCGAAATTGATCTGAAATTTCATCTGCAATGAAATAACATGGTGTTTTGCATTAATGAATGTGTATTGCAAAAAAACAATTTAAAATAGTTAATAGGAGTAGAGAATTGGATTTGTTTTCTTGCACTTACTTCTTCATCTGTTTTTAATACTGGGTATCCCACTTGGCAAGTGACAGTTTGTGTTTGTGTTGAGGTGCATTTCACTCCATCCGTCTGTAAAGGTATAGTTTAGACTGGCACATGACTTCTATGTGGCTTTATTTACTGACAACACATAAATAAATATCAAATAACTATCCACCAGCTTAGGCAAAAAAGTACAGATAACTTTACACTCTTTTTTTCTAATGAACTGTTTCAGTAATTGTTGAAAAAATGTATTTAATTATTTAATTATGATGCATTTTATTTAGTGTAATTTGATGACCATTATGTTGAAAATCTATTCAAGGAAGAGTATGGGACATTTTTCACTTTAGCGTCATGTTAACATAAACAGCTTTCAGTTCGGCCTTTGTTACTCACGGGAGGAAAGACGGAGGAGTAGTAGAGGTTGCTGGAGAACGTGGCCAAGACCAGAGTGTTGTATGCGTTCTCCTTTTTGTTCTTCACAACCACTTCAAATGACAGATCTCTGTGATTAGCGCCAACCAGAAAGGGAGCTGAGCTGCAACACAAGAGCTGAGATTACTGTCCTCTGCATTCCCGTCAGTTAATTTATGTTTGTCACCGATTAAAGGAGCATGATAACAGTACGCATATTGTCTAAGTGACTAGAGGAATTGGACTAAGAAGGATGTGATTGGTCCACTATTTAACTAAAAGTTAGGAGCTGCAAAAAGGAGCCACAAAACTGAAAATATATAGCAATAGCAGCAGCTTGTGATGAAATGGGTTTGAATGCAGAAAAGTACTGTTGCATTGTCTCTGTAAAGTCCTTGTTCATATCCTTTCATCCAAGCTGATTCAATGAGCATGTATATCAAGTTTTTTCCGATCTCACAAGTTGGACCCAACCATTTTATGGGCTATGAAGTTGCTGTACAGACTGGAAAACTCTAATTTGTGCAGCTATTAGCAATTAAATGGTGTAATGGTCGGAGTTACCAGGGCATAATATTAAATAGAGGAATACCCATTTTGCCGTCACACAATTCCTTCTTCTTTGTTCTATAAATGTGTGCACACTACTAGATGCTGCCTTTATGTGACAACATAAACTTTTCACACAGCTGGTCAGTGGATCCGCTCAATGAGTTGATTGAGAAAATTGGGTTTCAGGTCCTCAAAGATAATCACCTGTTCTCTTTTCACAAATGACTATCATGAGTATAATTATTTTCATTTAACTTCACCTATAAATGAACAGCAACAACATTTTTATCCTGAGGATACCATCACACATCAAGTGAAATCTTGATACAGAGCACATCTTGTAATTACTTCAAAACTGTATACTGTATGTCTGATAATGTTTATTGTACATTGTAATGGATTCTTACCTGGACGCCTTCGTGTTTGTCTTCACAGTCAGCACCAGATCACTCACACACACTTCATCAGTGCCACAGTCTTTTGTGAAGGGGATCTGAAACAATAACAGAGCAGGATGCTACTTTATTCTTTGAAGGCTGTATTTTCAACAGATAATTATTTCCCTACAATCTGTACAGATCTGGAAAAATACAACATAAAGGAAATGTATAAAGGTAATGATTTCACTGCATTGGATGAACTTTAATCTCGGGAAAAAGCAGGGTGTAAATCTGAGAACTTGCTTGACTTAGTGAAACACACAGAAGTTTTAACCATCATCACAAACGCACGCCATGTCATTTTAAACGACTACCTTTGCAAAATAACAACCATGTTTAAAGTCTTCTGTCACATGATCTGTTTCCTGTAGATCACAGATTGAGAGATACCATGTAGTTTATCAGTCACTTACAAAGAACTCCCAGGCTTTGGGAGAAAACATATCGAGGACGGGGTTCACATCTGGACTCTGCTGCTCGACTTCTACTTTCAGACTGACAGAATTAACAAAGTCTGGTGTCTCCTGTAGAAGAAACCATATATGGACAAATCAGGACGTCATTTTCAAAATAATTAATGCCTATTTTGGAAAAACAAATATAAAGTAATATCTTTACAAGGCTTATCGCATCAAGGTGTTCACATAAAAATCACTGATGCTCTTTGATGACCTCACACAAGCGGAATCATGAAAAAAACAAAACAGATGATTTTCATTACCAGAACATAAAACTGGTAGTCTCGACACAGGGGCGTAGATGATATTTTTGCCTTTTCTGTGAAAAAGCGTTCATTGTTTTTAGTGAAGAGTCCTCTTGATGTCACTCGTGAAGACTGCAAGTCTGCATCCAGCGTTAAAGTGTAGGATATATCTGAAAGATGTGAAAAAATAACCTTATATGACACACCCTTTGACATCTTGGTACAATCATTTTTAATTTTCTTGAAAACTAATAGGATGGGAATATCTTTTAGCACTAATTCAACTTTTTGGGAAATATGGTTTATTCACTTTCTTGCCGAGTGTTAACTAAGAAGATTGATACTACTTTCATGTGTGTACGCTATATATAAGGCTATATATAAAGCTCCAGTCAGCAGCCAATAAGTTTAGCTTAGCATAACGACTGGAAACCATAGACTACTAGAAATATGGGGAAGCAGCTAGCCTGGCTCTAACTAACCCACCCACCAGCAAACTGCAACTTGTCATTTTAAAACTGAGCTTTAGGCTAGCTGTTTTTCTCTGTTTCCAGTCTTTGTGCTAAGCTAACAGGCTGCTGGCTGTAACTTCATATTCATACTGTACAGACATGAGAGTGGTATCGATCTTCGAATCTATACATTCACGAGAAGCCTAGTACGTAATCAGATTTACCAATGGGTCCAACGGGGTTCTTAGGCCTGAATGCAGCACTGAAACAGAGGTTCGTGATGAAACATGAAAGCTTGCGTCCATTGATGTCACAGGGTTTGTTTAAAATGTTGATTTTATCGGGGTTGAAAGAAGCTTTAGCTGTGACAGAAGCAACACCTCTGGACCTGGAAACCAAGTGCAGTTTTGAATTATTACCAACCTTGCCGATTCTATAAATAATGGGTTAATTTACTGAACTTGATAATCATTTCATCATTTACTCAATATTTAATCATTCACAGTTTATTACAGGTTATGTTGTTGAGTTCCCACTCATTGCGATGTATAGACCTACCAGAGCTGCACCACTTTTCCATATGCCCCAATGGAGATGTCAGGGATAGTATCATCATTGAGATCTTGGTAGCTATCTAGGGATCTTCCAAAATACCTTAACTGGGGGTCCAGTTTGGAGCCAAGGATTCTCTGAAATAGAAGAACATCACTCTCATTATTAAAGAGTTTAATCAACTAAATGATATACATTCATGATATGAGAGACGAAAATGTATTTGGTTCCCAACACACAGGACCAACTAGAACAAACAGATTCTCTGTCAGTCAGTTATTAAACGAGGCCGTTTCCCACCGTACCTGCGAGTACTCTTTGTTTAATGTCTTCTTCTCCCCACGGTAGACGTAGATGACACCTGTTTCTTTCTCTTCTAGTGGGGCTCCAACTATAACATCACTGTAACCGTCGAGATCCAGGTCGGGAACAGCAGAAATGGCCATCCCAAAACGTGCATTCTCAGTTGGACCACTGAGGAATCCCTGCTCATTCAGTATACCCTTCAGATGATGAGACAGAAAAAGTATGTGGCTAAATGTCATGCCAGCAGTTCCTTTAAATTCAAAAACTATAAATATACACAACTGCAAATTAAATCCACGTGTCTTTTTTTACTAAAAAAGGCCATTTCACAATTAACTGATGGCTGTTTTGAATTTTAGAAATGAAAAAGATCAGCTTTGACAATATGTCTATGACTTTTCACCGACTTTGTGTACCAACCAATGCTGATAGACTTTCTAAATCATGAAAGGCAATGTAATTATACACAACGTCTTTTCATTTGTATACCTCAGCATGAATAGTGATGATCATGTCCTTCTTCACTGACACTCAGGAAAACCAGACAACAAAATGGTAGTATTAAAGTGACATTTTTACCTTGGTGACAGAAAAGACGAAGACCCTGCCTTCTTCTCTCTTCAGCTCGCTCATGAACATGGGCGCGCCGACCAGAAGGAGGTCTGTCACTCCGTCTCTGTCCACGTCCAGGGAGCACAGGACGCTTCCAAAGTATGACCCAATCTAGGACAACAATTGCCTGCTGTTTACTGATGAGGAGTTACATTTGTTTGTCTGGCTACACACTACATGTACATGGCTGGTTCCTGGGAAAAATGTGAATACCATATCCTCCAATGTCAGTACCTGTTTCCCTCTTTCTGAATCTATGATAGTTAACTGCTTCTGGGTGTTGACGGTGTAGACAATAACTTGTCCAGAGTGGTTGGAGCGAGGTGCACCTGCCACAAAGTATTCTGTAGACCCATCAATCAATGTGGTGACAGAGTAACCTGGAAATGAGCACAAGTGACACATTTACTAGATGATATCTGAACGTAGGACGTCTTCTTACTTAATACAGTGGTGGAAATAATACTTTACTTAAGTGCATTTTTGAGGTATTTGTACTTTTGAGTATTTCCATTTTACACTTTTACTTTATTTTTACATTTCTTGAGGGAAATATAGTAATAATAATAATGAAGTTATATTAGTCATATATACAAAAACATCTACTGTACCTACAAATTTTAAATCATATATTTCATAATAAGTCTAAGCACTCTGCATATACTGTATATAGACATATCCACATACTTCATGTATATAAATTAACCTATTACATTAATCATTCAGTATTTATTTCAGCACTCTGCACCCTCACACTATCCTTTTCTTGTTTACAGTCTGACTTGTGTATGGCCATTGCACGTATGTTGTTGTTCAAGTTTGGTGAAGCAATGATGGGAATTAGGTTTCACTAAACTCTATGTACTGATACAAATCATAACAGGGAAAGTTGTCCTGTCTCAACAGGTACAATAAAAAGTTAGAGTTAGGTCTCAGTCAAGTTTGTACAAGCACACACTGTCCAGAGAAGAGGTTTTATTAGGCAGCATAAATGAAAACATCTTTGTGCGTTAACTATGGGTGTACAGCAGTTTTAAGATTTTACATGCAAAATGCAGTATATTATCAGTTTATAAAATACAATGCTTTATTATTGATTACACCTCGAAACTAATAGATGCATTATTACTTATTTTACTTTTGAAATTTAATTAAAATAATATTTGGAGTGCAGGGCCTTGTAACATAGTATATATACCGTAGTATTGCCACTTAAAGTAAAGTAAATAATCTCAGTGCCTCAATGCCAACACTGTACTTAGACCAGCCACTGTAACACAGTGTTACTGCAATAATACAATAGTGAAAAACAACAAATCGTTGCATAATATCTATGGTATAATAAATATTGTAATTTCTCTCAGCAAAATATTTGTAATAGAATAATATTAAGTTCACATATTCTCTTAAAGCCACTGAAATATATATTTTTTAAAAGAAGTTTTGGGGCATTTTTTCGCCTTTAATGGACAGGTCAGTGGATAGTGGTAGGAAACAAGGAAGAGAAAGATGGGGGTGCGCCACACAGCAAAGGGCTGCAGGTCGGATTCGAACCCAGGCGACTGCAATAAGGACATAGTTGTGTAAATCAGGCGCATGCTACAGGTGAGCTAAACCATGCACCAACCCACTGAAATTTTAACAATATGACTTTTATAGTCCACTAAAACTGAAATTGCCACACAAAGTTAGGCAGTGGTTAGGTGGCTGAGAAGCTGACAATTTTGTAAACCGGTTTCAACAGATATTTTGTTGAGACAGAAGATTTGTTTAGAAACACAGTCAGCCACTTTTGTCCAAGGCCTGAGAATGTCCACTAAGGGTGCTGACGCAGGGCAGCTGCAGCATTTACACTTTTATTACCAGCTCAGTCAAAACATTTGATCACAGCCATCTTACATAATCTTACACCTCCATTCCTGTCTTGTTTCATGCTCAGATTTAAAGTAACAGAGTTGGTCAAATAAATGCAGAGGAAAACTCTAAATGCCTACCCAGTAATGAGCTGTGGTTTCTGTCTTGAAGTGCTCCTTCAAAGGCTGAGAAAGGAAGAATGTCTACTTTTTTCCCTTTCTGATGGATGACGGTCCCGCTCCAATCGTAGGCTCCCACTGCTCCTAGCATCATCACATCCTTTAACAGCACAGGTCAAAGACCAGTCAACAGACACCATGGAAATACTACTGTAGATCACAGGATTATATTTTGGTCTGGGTTACAGACGGAGCAGTGTGAAACAACCAACAAATTTTCAGTAAGAAAGATTTTCAACTGTAGGGTGTTGCTCAACTGGGTTTCTAGTAGAAAAAATATGATGGAAACTAAAAATGACACATAGTGTGAGAACAGAAAATATTCTAAAAGAGAAAAAAATTGTGGTCAGACAGTAAAAAAAGTGCAGCTTCTTTGCTGTGTTGGTACAGCAGGAGGGCTGTTGTGAAAGGGTTCTAGGACCAGCAAATATAGCAAGTACTGCAGAAAACCATTTTGCATATACCTTGTAGAATTATGCAAATTTGACTCTTTTCCTTGCAAGCATTGACACTTAAGAGAAGACGCTGCTGTCATAACTTTCCAGATTTGTAAAATTCTCTCTCAAAGATGTACAATCCCCTGTGCAATGCCTTGGAATCTAATAAGCCACAAACTAGACTTCCTTTATTATATTTCACATGTCCACAGCAACACACAGCCCCATATATTTGTTGCAGCAGTGATGGATAATTACAATAAACAATTGATAAATACATTAAACAATTGATAGAACCTCTGTACCTGACTGGAGTAGTGCGCACTGAATCCCGCCTGGGCCATCTCCATCTGGAAGTTATCCCCTTTTCCAGTGCCTTGTAGGAACAGAGTAAACACCAGAATCAAATACAGAAGAGCAGATCAAGAATCAGACAGAGCACAAGATGTGTTTTATCAATTACACAAGGATAAAACTGAAGTTATTGTTTTTGGAGCCAAGGAAGAACGATTGAAAGTCAGTGCTCAGCTTCAATCTGTAATGTTAAGAACCACAAATCAAATCAGAAATCTTGGTGTAGTCATGGACTCGGACCTGAATTTGAGGAGCCACATTTATAAAGTCAGCCTAACGATCACCTGAAGAATATATCAAGGATTAAAGGACTTATATCTCAGCAAGACCTGGAAAAACGTATCCATGCATTTATCTTCAGTCGACTCGACTACTGTAACAGTGTCTTTACAGGTCACCCTAAGAAATCCATCAGACAGCTGCAGCTGAGTCAGAACGCTGCTGCTCGAGTCCTCACTAAGACCAAAAAGGTGGATCACATCACTCCAGTTCTGAGGTCTTTACACTGGCTTCCTGTATGTCAAAGAATTGATTTCAAAATTCTGCTGTTAGTTTATAAAGCACTAAATGGTTTAGGGCCAAAATACATTTCTGATCTTCTGCTTGTTATGAAACATCCAGACCTCAGCAGGACCTCAGCAGGACTGCTTTCTGTCCCCAGTGTCAAAACTAAACGAGGAGAAGCAGCGTTCAGTTATTATGCTCCGTGTATCTGGAATAAACTCCCAACAACTGCAGGTCTGCTGAAACTGTCAGTTCTTTTAAATTAAGACTTTTCTTATTACCATTGCTTTTAATTAAATATTTACACGGTGAGAAATGAGTAGGTAATTGAGTGAAAAGATAATGAGAGTGAGACTGAACAGAGTGAAGGAAGTGGTCTTAAATCTCGCGCCTGAGTGATTTGCAGGAACCTCTGTCCACCTGTAAACACGCAGGTGGGTCCAGAGTATAACTGGCTCAAAGTGGCCTGCGGACAGACATGTCCTGGTTTCTCTGTAGTGTCCGAGGGTTTTTGTGGATCCAAAGATTGCTACAGACCCGAGTACAGACTAGCTAGAGAGAGTAGATTAAGTGTACTTATCTGTTTATTCTCTTTTCAAAATAATTGTAACTTAATTATTTGCTCAACCCCTCAGCCTGTTTTTATTTTCCATTTAACCCTGATTGTACACTGCACTGTAACTTTTACTGTCCTGTTTTACCCTGTGTATTGTTTTCAATTTCCCTATGTTGCTTTTAAACTTTTTTATATTTACCTGTTGCTTTTATGTTTTATGTAAAACACTTTGAATGACCTTGTTGTTGAAATGTGCTATACAAATAAACTTGCCTTAAAAAAAACGCAATTTTTATTTTGATCTCTTTTAGGGATCTCCAGCTATGACGGACATGTTGTGACGTGCCTGGATGAGTTTCTTTGAAAAGAGTGAACATGCAGCGTCAAGTACAGTGCACATAATATGCACCTTCTATGTTGAAGATGCGGTTCCCCAGTGTTCCAGCGATGGTGGAGAGGGCTGCCTCTTCTGACACATTGAAGAAGTAATTCTCTGTGGGTAAACTGGCAATGGATTTGATTTCTTTTAGAAGTTTATCCGTGTTGATGTTGTTCCTGATGTAATAACCCAGCACCTGGGGGGAAAAAAACAGGAAACACCACAAATTCAGGATTGCAAAGAGGTCTAGATAATAACACCGGCACATTAAATCAAATTAATAAATAACAAAATAGTGAGGATCAACAAAATGCATTTTTAATGAAACCCGACAGTGGAACTCAAAGTGTGATTAAAGTCAGGAAACTGAAGCTGTGACCAGATGATCAAATATTAATGTTGATATAGATTTTATTTTTAACCAACATTTTAAAAACACTACTGTTACTGTATATGACATGATGAGAGTCAATGGCAGATCATCACTTACAGCAATACCAAAGCGGGTAATGCCTTGTCTCTCACAGTTGGCAATGACTTTATCTCTGACATTGCTATCGTGAGACTCCCCATCAGTGACGACCACCATCACCTTGGCAGCGCCTGGTCGAGCGCCATTAGTTTGACTGAACCCCTGGTCACTGGAGAAAGCACAGTTGACACTTCTAAGCTGCTGTTTGTGGTTTTGTGAAAAAAAAAATACAACAGACAAGACAGATGCAGCAACATACAAATTATGACGGCATAACAAGAAATCAAACACTTTCGTAAATAAATAAACACATGCATAAAAGGCAACACCAACCTGGCAAATTGAATCGCATTGAAGGTATTGGTAAGTGTACCATACATTTGCTTGATGCTGGACACAGCAGCCATCAACTCTTCTTTGGTTTTATATGTGTTCAGTCTGAATTCAAACCGGGGAGTAACACCATACTGAATCACGCTGACCTGGCATAATAGCAAATGGTGTGATAAAGCACAGGAAGCTTTCAGCAATGAGACAAAAAAGTAACAAGGTGAATTAACTCAAGATTATCCCCTGCTTCATCTCTGCACCTGTGTGTTTATGGGCCCGATGTCAAGCCCGGGTATTAACTTCTGGAGGAACTCGTTCATTGGAGGCCAAGGATAAATGCTGTTGGAGCCATCCAAAACAATCACGATGTCCATAGGCCCTTTACATGCTAGAAATGTCATGAGAAGAGACATATAAGAATGCATTTAAGCAACAGTGATGAATCAATGTGAATGAAGTCATCTGTTAGTTGCCTTTATTATGTGGTTAAACGGCTAAAAGCAGAGACTCATGTTGGGTGGATTCAAGTAAGCTCTGACATTCAATAACTGATGAAAAGCAGAGCATTGACAAGCTAAAAATCAAACCCAGAAGACAAAGAATAACCAAGAATCCAAACGTGACCATGTCTTTTTAAGGCTGCAGTTTGTAAGCAAACTCTAAAAGCTATGATGTTGCAGTTTCCCATAAGCAAAATGGTCTGTGACGGCATAACCATGTAATGAAATAACATCATAATAGACTGTATGTCACTGTCAAGGATTTCAACTATTCTGATATGAACGGAAACCTGTATTTAAAGATATCTAACATTACACAGGCCAATCTACAAAGAGGACAGCTCTTACACTGGACGGCAGGAGAGAAGGCAGGTTGAAGTTGAAAGAGGGGGTTCATTTGTGCACATATCCCTGGGTAGAAGTCCTGATCGCCACACTGCTGTCCCCAAAGAGGACCGCACATCTGTATCAGGTGACCACAGAAGAAAAGAAAAGAGACTTGGTTAAAATCTTATAACTTTCTTTAAAAGCTCACAGCAAGCTCTTACATCTGGGTTTTATAGTGAATTAAATGCTATTAAATTGTAAATTCGACTTAAGTCATATTGAAGTGTTTCTGGTGGTAAAAAACAAAGTTAAACCTGTGACATAAGTAGTTGTGCAGTTGCTGCTGTTTCTATTTAGAAACACATATTCTTGGCTTCCCGCTACAGCAATCAATTTACCTAAACCGCTGAAACACTTCCTTCCACCTAAAAATGACATTTCTATGTAAATTTTAAAGGAAATCATTACTTAACTGTCCATGGCACAATGCTGTTTCATCTAAGTGTATTTATCTTGTGATGATAGTATTTCAGGTGGCACTTAACAGCATGTTACTAAACATTTCATAAAATGATGAATGTTACATGAAAGCCCAGGAATACATTTATATGAAATATGTTAAGCAAATATACAAACTGTCAGTCCTTCCTTTCCATCTTTTTTTTAATGAAAACACAAATACCCATACCATCAAACCAGTGGCTGCAGGCAGGCGGGTAAGAGTCAAACCCAGGCACATCTTGTCATTGATGTTTTTAACATCTGGAATACTAACAGAATCTGTAGACAAAGACAATAAATGAGCTCTTACATTAAAGTGCAGATTATAGTTGTTAAATCTGGAATTTATACAATGTGTATAATAATAAACTCAGTGTATGAATAAAATACATGCTTTGACATGGTAGATATTTTTTATTTATTTTCAAAACAGAAAAAAGCCAACTATCAGGAGACAACATGGATGTTTTAAGATGACGTGTCTTTTCAGCTCTGTTTAGGCATTTTAAGTACATGGCCAATGTTTGGTAGAGAGGTCAAAGGTGAAACAATAAAACACCAAACCTTACCTTGAAGATTGAGCTTGTCACAGTTATTTCTGGACCCGGCGACTGGACACTTGTAAACATCCCCCTTCTTGTTTTGACTGAAACCACTCCATGGAGCACTAACCAGGAGCCTACAGAAAACAACAATATTCATCTCTTCCCACTCTCATAAACACGCACCACAAGTGTTATCTCAATCAATCAATCATCAATCAACAAATGTTTCTGTAACAGGGTATAAGCGGCTGTACTTAAGAATACTTGAATGAGACTCACATTATTTGATACTGAAAATGGTAACAGAATGTTTTTGAAGGTTCTACACATGTTCAGCAGTGAGGTTGTCCAACAGTGTCAAACAAGGCACAAGAAGTGGAAAACGGCATTTAGAAGTAGAAGACAGGAAACAGGATTTATCACCTTTGATTTCTCATTGATAATAATGTGAGGAATACAGTCAGAGACCACTTTGGGATACTGTACACTTCCTCCAGTTACACAAATTGGACAGTCCTTCAGACAGTGAGTTACTCTAGGAGAATGTGACTCAGAGTGAACAACACATTCAACACACACACATCCAGACATCACTGAGACTTCAGTAACTGTTTAACTAAATGTTACAAATGAGCAGGGCAAAATGTAAGAGACTTTAAATATGGCACGATTGTTTGTGTCGCACAAGCATGAAAAACTGAGCACAGCTTTCTGCCACGTCTGTTTTCTTTGTAAATTTTGCAGTAATTTAATCAGGATGGTGTTTTAAGATCTTCTTATCAGTGGTGCTTGACCGATAAAATTAGATTTCTTTAACTCCCAAATATTGTACATTCTGCAGCCATGCTAGCAGCTCTGTGAGGCTGTACTAAGGCACACTGGTGTTTTGATGTACAGTAAATGCCATAAAAAACATCCGTATGCTAACATATGCACATTTTTAATAAAAACCAAAGTGGCTGAGCGGCCACCCCTAGAGCGATGCCACTAGATTAGATAAAACCAAGTGGTATTACCCACGTTGTTGAGCAGAGGAGCATTTAACACCTACTAACCGCTTAACAGTTTGGTTTTAGCTGGTGTGAACGGAAGGCTTAACTGGGCTAAAGGAAGTGTTTAATTGGGGTGTTGCAAGACACTCATAGCTTTGTGGCGCCTGGTGCCAACAGTAGGCTACAGGCTAGTGGTGGTAGTATAACAGTGTTCAGAGTTGTTTTCATGCCACAGAATACCTCGACATTGCTGATAACCATGTGCATCCCTTTACAGCAACAGGCCCTCATTTGCAAAATGGATACTTCTGCGAGGACAGTTCTGCATGACATGACGAAACTGAAATCTCAACCTCGTAGAGCATCTTTGGGATTAGGGACATGGATTTTTTTTTGCAAGCACACAACTGTTTCATACTCAGAAGTCAGCGTGGACCAAGATCGATCCCTGTGAAGCATGTAAGGCACCTTGTCAAACCTGGAACTCAGGCTTTTACTGATGAGGTGTATATATGTATGTTGACATGTTTCTCAACTTATTGCTGTTAAAGCTGTTGCAAAGACATATTAACTAAACAAATGATTAACTGGACACCACTTGAAAGCTTTAGCATCTGGGCAGGACACAGTTTGGGATGGAAACATAGATAAAAGCGAAGCAGTCTACGTCTCCTTTCATTGCACAAAATTCATACCATTTGCCTTCATGGTTTGTCGCTTGTTGGACTGTGTAGCCAAACTCTTCTGCAGCTGGTCCGCTGAATACTTTGGCACCTGCAGTTCCAATGTTGAAGGACTGTGAATGCCAAATTCTGTCAGCTGGTGGAGGACAAAGATGAGGTTGCGTGACACATATATAATATAACACATCAGTAACATCACATGATTCTCTTTACTGGTAATAATGACCTTAATAATAAGCTATACCAACTATGTACACTAGCTGGGTGGTGATGGCGCAGTGGATAAGACATATGTCTTTGGTGTAAGAGACCCAGGTTCAACTCCCTTCAATAGCAAGATACTCCAGAGGTGTGCTACCTCTGATATAACAATTGTAAGTTGCTTTGGATGAAAGCATCAGATAAATGTAAATATTACTAATAGTTAACTTATTGTTCACCATAAAACTGTTTTCATGACTCTGACTGTTTATGAGAGAGGTGTAACTTCTTATCTACAGCAACAAATTAAGATGATCTAATTTCCTTTGAGTCAAGAGGGTGTTTTTTTTGTCTGAATCGTGTAGGTTTGAAAAACCACATCAGCTTGACTCATGAAAGATTAGCAATCCACTAAAATGGCTTCACAACATATGAAGGTCATACTATTCATGAGGTGTTGAAGATTGCATTAATAGCCATTGCTCATCCCGGAACTGTGTGTTTCTCCATAGCACAATCCACTTGCAATCACAGCCCTCTGAAACCCCTCAGGACATGGAATTCGCTTGTCTGCAAGCGAGTCTTTCTGCAGTAACAGATCAACAAGCTCATACAGGCAGAGAGCTCAGCTATCAGCCTGCCTTCCCCCATGATCAACGGGCAGAGGAATTCGGATGGGCACTGGACCCAGGAGTACTTGACAAGCACATTTCTGCCACGCCTGTTTACCTGCACTTTTTCTCCTGCAGGGGTTCTGCAAACCACCTAACATTAATATTTCCTTTCAGTTCTGTAATGGTGGGATGTGCATAGGAGAATAATTAAACGTTTCTGTCTGGCTGTTGCTTGAAAGTTTCCACAGGTTAAAGAGGACACACCGAGAAACACAGTATGTGACTTTTCTCCACTAGTGTAATGATGCACAGTAGAACAACGACTCTGGTCTCATGTGGATTGACTGTGGATGATGCATTTGAGTGCAGAGGAAGAGACGCCGCAGGGTGAAATCTAAATCAAAACAAAATCACTTTTTTAAGTAAAAGGGACTCACTGCTGACACCTTTTAACAATTACCTTCAAAGCTATTGCTAACTACTGATAAACCTCACCGACTTCAGTCTTAAGAAAACGGAATAAATCCCTCGCTATTAGTGGCGAGAATATTTGCACATTTTTACTCTTAGGGACAGAGGACGGCGTCGCATAATGGTGAAGAATAACACGTTCAAAGTCCAACAACAAGTTCAGTACTTACTAATGACAAGTACGAAGAATATGATATCCCCCCAGAAGAACTCCATCGTCGTCTTTATCCCATTTGAATGAGGTGGTTAAAGGAAGCCGCCGCACTTGTCAAAGTTGTGGCTGCGCAGCGCTTAGTCAGCGGTGACGCACCGGACAGACTTCTAAATAAGGACTTGTGTTCTTCCTCTTACCTGCCGACACAAACTTTGCCCCAGGTAGCTATTATCAAAGGGCGTGAAGTGGAGTCTGCAAAAAAGTGTGACTGGGTAAAGGCAGCTGCGACATGCTGTAGCTTGAAATCCGGCTATGAGCAGGCAGAAGACCTGAAAAAGAGCCTCACAGATGAATTACATCTCATCTTTAAAGTCCAAGTCTTTTAATGCTATAAAGATAAAAAGGTGCAAACTTGAAAAACAAACAAATTTAAGTTCAAATGGAAGCAAAAAAACAACAACAACCCAACAACAACTAAACGTCAGTGTTCAAAACAAGTCCACACCCATAGGCCTTCATTTAAAATCTCTTTTAATCGTCATTCCAGACCCACATCAGGAGTGGACAAACAACACTTAAATCAACAGATGTCAAATAAAAAAACTTGTCTCATTTCCCATCATCCTGATACACCCTATAATTTTTCATTGCGGAGCAGAGAGTTATGGTTCAGACAAATGTATCTGATGAAATGTAGAATATCAAGAACCTATAAACTGGAGACCAAACAATAGAAAGTCTCTCATCTGTTAGGAAAATGACCAAAGCCTTTTTTCCTTGATGTAAGACGATACATTTGCTGTGTGTTGTTAAAGGGCAGGGTGGTGAAAGAGTTGAAGGACGTTTAATTGTGAGAGTGGTTTCTTTCCAAAATGCTTTCCTGGAAAGAATCTTGGCTTGTTTTTTTAATATCCAGACAGACACATCACATCCTCTGGTGTCATATTGTTTTGTGAGCAAGTAATGCAAGATGTAGTTACAGTGAGTAACAATTTCAAAGTAATTTGTAAAAAGCTCAGTTCATGGGAAGTAGTCTCAGCCTCTGTCAACTGTTGCACTTTCTCTGGCTCTGGAGGAAATCTGAGAAAAAAAACCCTGATGACATCATCTCAGTTACAGATTTTCAACAGAAAGCTGCATAGTGATCTGGGCTTGTGGAATTTCAGAGATGTGTGTTCAGCAGCCAGGGTGGATCAAACAAAAAGATGCTTTTGGTTGCATTGTAAGAAATTGAGGATGTTGAAATTGAGCTTGCCCCATAAAAGGAAGTAAAAGTCAGGATATCTCGGCCTCTCCTGCGACGATTTTAAATTAATTCATTAAAAAATGTTAACCTTTATTTACTTAGCTGAGAGTCAAGCTGTCTTAAGTAGGGCAGCCATGAACACACACACACATCTACAGAAGCTGCCCAGTACAACGCCAGTCTGATCTGTCGGTGGCCACTGAGCAGCTCCTCTGGAGCAGCTGGTAGTAAGTGAGTTTCAACTCAAACCACCACTGCCAAACATGCCTCTTGTGATTCCCCCAGGTGTCCAGGAGTAGCCAAACTATTACTACTTAACAATCTTGTCAATTTAGATGAAACTTACTCCATGCGGTATAACAGTATTACCCTACTGTGGCTCTTGCCTACAGAGAGTTTCACTGTAACATTGACCTGGTGCTTCTGTGATGCTGTCCTTGCTGAAACCAATGAACTTAAAGCCTATAACAAAGATGAGTTGAACATCTTTAGCAATCTCCACCCTTCCAAGTAGGTCACGTCAAATCTTAAATCAGTTATGAACTTAGGCGGACCCTATAAGTTGCCAAGTGTTAAGCTTGTTAAGAACACAAAAATATCATTAAAGGCTGTCAGTCAAGTCTTCAAAATCTGCCTGCAAACTTATCCATTTAATACAATGCCTGCAAATGAGTTGTGAAGCAAATGAAAACTAGAATTCCTTCCTCATTTACTAAGACACATTGGGGCCGGACGAACATTGAAACAGGAAATTATCTGTATCAGACTTCAGAATCCAGATACGTGTATGTAATCTTTGGGTAAGCAGGGTCACAGACCACTGCTGGGCTGGTCAAGATGGAACTGTTTTAGAAAAAATGCATCATGACTGTCTGCATGCTGGTGCTCCACCGCATGCAGCTGGCACATACCCCTGCCCCTCACACAGCTTGAGTCTGCCACTGCCAAAGACCCACGACCATCAGCTATGTGATTCAGTTAAGTTGACTGAATAGGGTTGGGTGTCCTGGAAGAAACAATGTTACTTGTGCAACCTTATTCAGCAGCTGAACCCCTATGCCCACTCCTCTATTCATGCTCATCGTCTCGTCTTGATTCTTGTGTAAGTCATCTGGTGAGCCAGAGCAAGCGTGAGTGTGGTAGAGGTGCTGAGCAGTTCCTGGAAAAGACCGGCCCTCTTTTCTCATATTTGTTTTGACAAGACTTGCTTTGAGAAACTGAACCATTCACTTTTCACAAAAGTAAAAAAAGTAAAAAAGGTAATATGTTGTGAGTCTTACTCACTGATGTTATAGATAAAGAAAACTACATTAGTTATACCTCTCTCCCTTTAACGCTGCATTCTTTCACTTTCAACAATGCAGAGAGGTTTAGGCAGCTTGCTCTATTAAATTATGTTTAACAATTTAAGGAAGGATCTTCAAACAGCAAGTCTGTTTTCCTGTCAGAGCCCCTATAATAGAGCAGTGTGGGACGTCATTAAAAGTCCCCACTGAGGAGGATCATGACTCATTTGAGGTTGGCCTGGATGTTTGGAGACCCTTTATAATCACAGGACAAGCCTTTGTCTTTTTAACTATATAAGGACCCACATTATAAAAAAAGGGATTTTCCCATTGCCTCTACTGGCATCTTGCCATATTGCCATATAAGTAGTTTTTGATTGACTGTTGGCTGTTTTTCTCAAGGTTATGACCAATCCATTGTCCACCTCTCCAATACAATAGGGGTGATCTGAATATCTATTTTTGTTGTTTTTGGAAATGAAAAATTACTTTTGTAAGATTAAACAGCAACATGGTTTTTTTAAATTTTTCCAATCAGTCTCTCCGTTACTCTGGAAAAATGTTATCAACAGTCATCTGGACTACTTTACACCGGCGAAATAGTTCCTATGAAAACTGTTCACAGCCAGGTGTTTAATTTGGTAGTTTGTGTGGTGTTTACTTTCTTACACAGTCAAAACACATGGTTCACAAAGGCTTTGATCATTGCAGGGCTTTGGCTCTACATTTTACACATATTCATGTTCATGTCCACTCTCTGTACTGTACGTTCCAGTATTATTCAGATCATTCACTGTGGACACAACACATTGAATGGCCAAGGCAAACAAAGAAATCCTACTTTTAATAAAATATCCAATCAAAAATCATAAATCAAAGTTTCTTTAATATTCCCAAATAAAAAACATTCCAGCAATACATGCATGTCCTCGTTGCCTCGCTGCAGTGAAGGAAACATGATTAAACTCTTCCTCAGTCTTAGGCGCCACCTCAACAACTTTGAATCATTGGTGAACATTATAAAAATAGCAATTCAGAGTCACAGATTTTGTCACAAGAGCTTTCAGACGAAAATGCTCCCAGGAAGAAATACATCTCTGTTTTAAAACTACTTTATGGAATATATGCATAGACTTTAATACAGATAGAGAAACACACACACAATTCTGGGTGAGTAGACTGCAGCATCGAACTAATCCCTCTTTCACACCCATCTGCTGACCAATGGGAATCTAAGGCCCTGGTTTTCCCTGTTGCATTGTGAGCCAGACAGTCGCATCCAGCAGGCTCAGAGGGGCTCACGAGTCAGTGACTGCACACAGACATGGTGGTAATGTGACTTATGGCTGAAGTTACCCTCCTGTCACGTGACCAAAGTTTTTTTAGTTTTGTTTTTTAGATTCATACAGGGGCATATCCAAGCGCAAGTAAAGAATGCAGTTATTTGTAAATACGAGCAAGATGGTGCAATAGTTGAGTTGGCAACCACCGGTTTCCAGATAAAGATATCAGCAATGTGCAGTGTGCTTCCTCAACAGCCCTGTGGATGACACACACTCACACACATTCAAAATACACTCAAATGTAAATTGATGCAAATTTGTTTTCCCAGATCATGAATATATCAGATATAGTAGGCTATATATAACAATTACTGCAGTACAGTCAGCAATGATCATAATTTGGTCTAGATAACTGCAACAACTGCTTATAGACAATAAATCGGAGACAGACTTGTGGGAAAGTTTTTCCATCTTTTGAACAAAAAAATATCTTTTGTCTACAGTAGTAGTACCAACTGGCAGATGCTAACAATTTACTTAAACACACTGTAAAGCATTGTATTTTGAAGTTCAGTGAAACAGTATGCTAAAATAACATAAGTTAAATTTAAAATATAATAGGACAACCAAATAAAGTATGCTACCTAGGTTCAAGTGGTGACCCATGACTGATTTCTATTTTTGACATCTGGAGTGTGAGATGGGGTGACACACAACAAAGGTCCCAAGCAAGGCAGGAGCCAGGATTATTGTGGCTGTATAGCACCAGGATGCCTTAGTACACTGTACCCCTGACAGACATGAAAGATATATAGACAGTGTCAAAAGAGCAGGAGGCTATGTTCTTGGCTGTAATTCAAACTCTGAATTTTACGATTTCAATATAAGCTTGGTGCTGAGTTACAAAGCACAAAAGAGCTACATTATTGCAGCAAGAAAAATAGCTGTGGTGTGTCACTGAGGCTAAGGGATTGTCATGGTATGACAACCACTAAGAATGTACAAGGCCATTCTGAACACACTGACAAATTTCTGACATGGGAAGAAAGATGTTCTTTATCTTTTCTTTATATGGAAAAGCTCCCTGTATGAACGACGGAAAGGGTAGACGCGCTTGCATTTCAACAAAGACAATAACATCATGTAGATTTGTTGCTGCAAGACAAGAGGATAGTGAAGCGCTGAGAGTTTGACCATTACAGATGACAACCTCCCAGTCTCCAGACTGTTTTTCTTACCACCTTCTTTTCGTATTCTAATAATCACAGCATTTAGGTGTTGCTTCAACGCTTTATCTACTTAAAATCAGTTTCTCCTTTACTCAATTTACAGTCTCAATTTAAAACCCTTTCTTCA